CTCCCTCAGTAATTATGCTGTGGTGCTAGGAGCCAATATTTGTTGTATAATCTATCCCTACAATTCTTGCTGCTATTGATGCTCTAGTGGAGTCTCCTCATATACTTCTTTATTCATGTATATTAATGGACTTGTCTGTTTCTTTTCGATTGTTTGCTGGTCTGGCTTACACTTATTTGCCCATCAGATTTCAATTGTAATTACATCCGCAACAGTCTCATCCCTATCTACGAGAGTATGTGTTTTTCTTATATGTCCATAGGATTTCAATTATCATCTACAGCTGCAACAGTCTCACCACTCTCTACCTGAGGATGCTTTTTTCTGAATTGCCTGTTTGATTTCACAATGAAAATTCAATATTGATTTTCTAGTTTTGCTTATCCCTCAGTTGGAAAGTCTTGATTCTTGACCATGTCAATACCTGCCCATTCCCCATTTTTTCTGACATTCCCTCTTTGAATCCCTCCAGACAGATTGGTGTCCCTGTTATAAACAGGTCAACACTTAATAAAGTCATAAAGGACATCCTAGGTGAATATGTTGGGTGATAGGAGCATTAATTTAGAACAATTGGCATAAAGTTAATCGAATTCTTTTTTAAATGTTGTTTGAAAAGATTACATAATGTTTGAAGCTTGAAGAGGTATGGCAATAATTCCTGTTACTAATACATTATTTTTTATATTTTGACGGTACCTCCTGGAACAGCAGTAATATCAGGTATGGAAAATATTATGAAGAAAATGTGTTGATCCACTTTTCAATGATGAAAGTTCAATATATTGCTCTGATTCTAGTAATCTGTAATTTTGTTAATAATCAACATAACTTCAGACCAAACTCAGTTTTCACTCTATAACAGATATCGTTTCATGCCGAGACAACTGTGGAGCATACGTCTTCGTGTGTTCCTGCGAATCCGACTGTTCTTACTATGGCAACTGTTGCCCAGATTTCTGTGATCAGTGTGCGTACATGAATTCCGGTAAGTGGATTTTTAGCGAACATTTAAATTTATATTTGGGAGTGTATTATCAGTGTAAAACTCAGTGATAAACCTTAGAATTGGACATGCAGAAAGCTTCTTGCTCCTTTCGTGTATCATTGTAGTGAAGTTAAGATGATATGTAATTTCTCTTCCTGCAGCATATGGTGTGATCCATGAAATTATGGTCAGGACAGGTCTGTGCTGTACCATTTCAAAAGTCTGGGATCAGTCTTAAAGTCAGTGGCTGAGAAATATTTTTCCACCATACCCAGGTTTCCAGGGACTCAATACAGTCCTCATTTTTGTGAGGGCATTGGACAAGTATTAGAATTATGTCCTGGAAATTCTACAGTAGATCATCAAAAACATCCATCTTCCTGTCAGGATCAGATTTCAACTGCGTTATTGCAGGAATGAGAATGGCTGCTTTGGGATATGGGCCAAAAGTTGGTAAATGGGACTAGATTCATTTAGGATATCAGGTCTGCATGGATGAGTTGGACCGAAGGGTCTGTTTCTGTGCTGTACAGCTCCATGACTCTGTGACTCTACAACTCAAATTGTCTTGCTTCAAAGGCTAACATTCCATTAACCTTCCTAATAGCTTGCTGTACTTGCATGTTAGTCTTCAGTGAAGTATGGCTAAGGCCACTTCTGTTCCTTTGCAAATCTACACTTTGCAATTTCTGAACATCAAAGAAATTCTCTGCTCATCTGTTTCTCTTACTAAAGTGGATAACCCCACATTACCTTCCATCTGCCATGTTTTTACCCATTCACAAAACCTTTTCAATCCTTCCTGAAGCCTTTACATTTTTCGGACAACATATATCCTTTGTCTCATCCACAAATTTGGAAACACTACATTTGGTCCCTACGTCCAAGACATTGTGAACAGTTTGGGCCA